TGCCGATGCACTCAAAGTGGCCGGCGGCCATGATGGCAATGCGATCACACAGTGCCTCGCATTCGTCCATAGACTGTAAAATTAAACAACAAAAATTACAATTAACACTTTTGTTGCTGATTTACAAAAAAAAATGAGCTGGCTAATTGCGCACTTACATGAGAGCTTAGAATAATGGACGACCCTGAGCCGTACTGAATGTCAGAGATGGCGACCCACATCTTCCGCCTGGCCACTGGGTCGACGCCTGACGTCGGCTCGTCCAGCAGCACCACGGGCGGCGAGCCAATGAGTGCCATAGCTAATGACAACTTCCGCTTATTTCCACCCGAATAGTTGCGACACATTCGGCTGGCGTGCATTTGAAGGTCAACCTTTTTAATCATCCTATTCACTTCCAGATTGATAGCATTGTCGGGAATACCACGCAGGCGCCCGAACAATTGTAGTGTTTCAAATGAGTTAAGTGACGGTAGTAGCGGGTCGAATTGTGGACAGTAGCTATTGGTTAAAAAAATAAGTGAACAATTGATAAGGTTAATTGATTGATTGACTAATTAACAGGTGCCATTTGCATACCCTATTTGAGTCTGATAGTCTTGCGTTTGAGAAATCAGATCGTAGTCGCCTGCATAGGCGTTGCCTCGTGTTGTCGAGAGATCACCCTGAAATGAATGGTTTTTGTTAGAACAGGAACCTTTGTTGATTAGTGTTCAGTCAACTTACAGTCAACATTCGGAAAGTGGTCGTTTTGCCTGAATAAAAAAGTTAAAGAATAAGTCATAAAAACCCTCTTCACAACAACTTCAAAAAACACAAACCAGCTCCATTGATGCCCAGCAGGCCGAAGAACTGCTCCTTGGCGACGGCGAAGCACAGCTGGTCCACCGCCTTGAAGTTGCCATTGGGGTAGATCTTGGAGAGGTTGTGCACTACAATCGCCTCGTGGCTGGTCTTCTTCGAGGCGAGAATCTTCTCCGCCCGAGCCCGTTCCTCCAGAACGTCCTTGTCGATGAAGCTGCTGCCGCCCATGCGCTCCAGCTTGAAGGTCTTCGAGGAGCGGGAGCGGACGGCGTCCCGGGCCCGCCCGGTGACTGCCCGAAAGCGCTTGGTCACCGCCTCGCGGATCTTCTTGTTATCGAGCAGCGCCAGGAGGCACCAGTAGAGGACGGCGTCAAAGAGGAGCATGAAGATCTCGTCGTTCACGCCGAGCCAGTTGAACCAGAAGAAAGGGTGCTGGAAGATGCACTCGTTGCCGCAGACCTCTGTGTTTTGGTGGGGTGGAAGTTTATATTTAGAAAACAGTTTTTAGCTAAAAATCCCCTCCCACTTACCATCACAGCACCGCTCCGGCTTGAGAATCTTCAGCTCCTCCAGCTCGGGGTTGGTCCGCTGGCTGGCGGCGTAGATGCCGCAGAGAATTGCCCGCAGCGACTGTTGAAACTGGGCGCAGATCAGTCGGGTCGAGTCGAGGGTAAAGAGCTTCTGCGTGCCGAGGATCAACGACACCACCGGGGAGAGTCGTGTGAACCACATGCCGACGTAGAAGAGCGCCCGCACCTCCTGACTGAGCTTCTCCTCGAGCATCGTCTCGAAGAAGGTCGCAATGACGCCCATGCCGATGCCGGTGATTACTGAGAGGAGGCAGAGAATGCCGAAGGCGGTGGACGGCTTGCGGAAGATGAGCGAGGCGCAGTAGGCGAAGGGAATGGCCGCCAGGCCAAAGGAGAGAAAGAGCGAGATGAAGGCCACTGAAAAATCAGATAGTCAAAATTACTTTTTTTCAAAATCAAACAAAACTTACCCGTGGAAAGAGGATTGGAAAAGTAGAGGCCGTAGTCGAAGCTTCGGTCCCAGATGAGAATCAGCGTGAACATGGTGACGAAGTAGGTGAAGTAGATGGTGTAGTCGAAGATAAAGTTGGACAGCCAGTAGAGACGGGTGGAGAGACCGGTCATCAGCTGGAGCAGTTTTGCCTGTTAAAGAAAATTAATTAATCTCAACTTCAAAAACACAAAACCAAAAGTAAGCCTACCTTAGAGATCCTCTCGTGCGTGGGAAAGAGCACGTAGAAGGCGGCAATGAAGGAGACGGAAAAGGGAAAGAAGATGCCGTTGTAGACGCGGCCGAAGAAGGGCAGAAAGGCGGAATGCGGGTTAAAGTGCTCAAAGGTGACCTGCGAGAGGGAGATGCTGAAGTTGTCGGCAGTGAGCGGCGTGCCGGTGCCGCCATTCGATCCGCCCACCACCAGGCTGGAACTGTGGTTGGAGAGGGCGATCATCTTCTTCAGCAGGGCATTGTAGAGGTAGTTCACGGAAAGGGGCAGGGAGTGGTGCGCCTCGCCGTTGTACCAGGCTAGGTAAAGCGTCCTCGAGCGGTACTTCTCAATGGAGGCGCCCACCAGCCACCGCTCTCGGTAGGCGTTCAGGTCCTTGATGCTAATGTCCAGCAGGCGGTCGTTTGCTTGAGATGAATTTCGAGCCGGTATCGTCGCCGAGGGCGAAAATTGCGAGGCGGAGGCGGCGTTGAGGGCGGCGCCGCCGCTCCACTTGCTCTTCACGGTGGAGCGAATGCCGAGAATGTTGGCCAGCGCTCGCGTGTCGTCGAGCATGAAGGTGCGAAAGTGGTCGGAGGCCGCCTCGCGGACGTAGTAGCTGCGGAAGCTCTCGCTGGCGTTGCGCTCGTAGTCGAAGTAGATGGCCCGCAGGCCTTCCGGTCCGTAGCCGGCGGTGTAGGCGTCCAGGTCCATGCTCCAATTTGGGAGGCGGTCGGTGCTGTTCACCGTCGTCTCAATGAGGCCGAGGATGGCGAAAATGCAACCGATGGCGATGCCGAGGATGGGCACCACCGTCTTGGTGTTCCGCTTGATGTCGTGGCCTCGCTTGGCGAGCAGCGCCTTCAGTTTGAGCATCGTCAGCGCCCGGCCCGGACCCAGTTTTTTGCTGTCGTGCAGCTTTCCGTCCTCATAGCCGCCCTTCTCTCCGCCATTGTAGTAGGAGTTGTGGAAGGCGTTGCCGTTCTTGCCACCACCGTTTCCACTAGTTGCATTGTTATTGTAGACGTCCAGGTGGTTGGGCGGTTTGAGGTACTGTGAGGGGCGGCGAGGTTTCTCGCCATTGTTGTTGTTGTTGTTATTCGCTCCACCGTTCTTGTCCTCCATGTAAATGGAGGCAATGGAGTTGGCACGGCTGGTCCTCGCCACGGCCAGCGTGGCCATGTCGGCGTGCAGAGAGGCCTGAGCGGCCTCCAGCGACTTGGCCTTCGTATTCTCCAGCTCAATCACCCGCAGAAAGACGTCGTCCATGGAGGCGACATTGACGCCGCAGCTGTACACGCCCAGCGCCTCCTTGTTCGCCTCGAGGCGGTCGAAGAACCGGGGCAGGTGGGTGGTGTCCTCCGGGGCAATGGTGAACTTGATCTCATTGGCGGTCTCATTCTCCAGCTTCGACTCGGGCAGGTACTCCTTGACCATGGTGGTGAAGGAGGCGGACTCGAAGACGTCCGCCTTCTTCGCGATTCGCAGGTGGTAGCCGCCGGCGTAGACGCGCTTGAGGAAGACCGAAGAGCCGCAGCAGGTGATGCGGCCGCGGGACATGATGGCGATGCGGTCGCCGAGGACGTCCGCCTCCTCCATCCAGTGGGTGGAGAGCATGATCAGGCGTTCCTTGCGAATGGAGAGCAGAAAGTCCCAAACGCCGCGGCGAGCTTCAGGGTCGAGGCCGCTAAAAACAAAAAGGGGTTAAGGGGGGACACCGCGCTCTTTTTTACTGCTTTTTGGAACTTTGAT